CCGCGCGGGCCGGGGCGGCGAGGGGCCGGGTGGGGTCCAGGCGGGAACGGGGTCGTATCCTCTGCTCCTTCGTACGTGTGTAGTGACGCTTTAGTTCGGTAACGGAGCAAAACGAAGGGCAAAAGGGCTGAGGAGGTTCTGTAACGGGGAAACGGAGATACTGGGACTGTCTTTGTGCCCGGGGCTGGGTAAATGCGGCATCGTTCCTCCCCGAGGGGCGGCGATGGAGACTTTCAGCCCAGGAAGAGCTATTTTTAAAGCTGTTTTGTTTACCTTGATCTGGGCTGGTCCTTAGGGGGGGAGTTGGACCCGTGTGTTTCTAGCGACCGGGAAGCACGTGGGAGGCGGCTGAGAAGCCGAGGATCGGCCAAAATGGAGGCTCCTTTCATTCCTCCCAAACGGCCTCGTCCGCTCTCCCGTGGGAGTGCCAGTCCGGCTTCCTCTGCATCTCGGGGTGTTTTGGCCCGAAACCTCTAACAGTGGGTCCAAGAGCTCTTGCCTGCGGGGCTTTCAGGAACCAATTGTGTGTTTTTCCCCCCTTTGCTTTTGGGTTTGATGGTGCTTTGAAATATTATTAAAGCAGGAGACTGTGATTAAATGCTCCTTTGTCCTTAAGCACTTGGCCTCCAGTGAAGGCAGTGGAAGCTTCGCCCCGAGTGCCCTGGCCCCTGTGTAACCTGAAGGGGGGAGGGGGTTAGGGGGCCCTGGTGGGCTTCACGCGACGGGCCTGTGGTTACGGAAAACCACGCTGGGAGCCAGACAAGTGGGAGTCCCCTGAGCGTGCCCGGCCCAGTTTGCATTGTGTTTTCTGTAACAATGTTTCTGAGGCAGATGTTATCCTCATCTTCCAGGTGAGGAGGTGGAAGCGCGGAGAGCTGCAGATCTTTGCCCCAAGTCACAGTGTCAGGAAGTCTGGCTTTAGATTCTGTACCTTTCTGCCTTCCAACAGTCACCACGTATATAACCAGCACTCCATAGAGTGGGGACTTTGACCCTTGATGAAGAAGCTATAATCTGGGCATAAAAACTCCTGCCCTTCAAGCGGCCGAGATGTGAGAGTTGTTCTTATCCCGCTCATTGAAATCACCATTTGCTATTTTGGCCTCGTCTGTGAAGTGAGCCTTGGGTCCTAGGTCCGGTGCCTGGATAGGAGGCACCCTGGGGGATAAGGTGTAACAGAGACAATGAACAGTGGTTGCTTGGGGTGGGGAGTCGGGAAGTTCGGGGTGACTAAGCCCTCATCTGTCTTCAACAGGTCCTGGTGCTTGATGGCCGAGGCCATCTCCTGGGCCGCCTGGCGGCCATCGTGGCCAAGCAGGTACTGCTGGGTAAGTCTGCCCTGTGCCCACAGCCCTCCAGACCTGAGGTCAGACCGGCGGTCCGTGATGAGCAGCAATCACCATCTTTCGTTTGAGTCTCACGACCATGAGATCAACCCCATGCACCGCTCTGAGACCTGCCAGCCACTCCCTCCCCTGGAGGTGGGGGGTCTGGGGTTAACATTTTCTGTTGGGCAAATTCATATAAGCGTGAATGTAGCTCTGCCAGTTACTGCTCTGTGACTGGGGCCAGCGGTTCCCCTGCTGGGCCCTTTGCTGTCTTGCCCTTGTGGTCTGGTCCTGACCTGGGAAGATCGCCCTTTGGTTCCTCGGCAGTAACTGGGCAGGGGGTGGCTGCTTGGCCTGAGCCCCCTGCGAGTCCCTCACTCTCTTTCTCTCTAGGCCGAAAGGTGGTGGTTGTGCGCTGTGAGGGCATCAACATTTCTGGCAATTTCTACAGAAACAAGTGTAAGTTGTGGCATGGGAGGACGAGAGAGGGTTGATGTGTGAGGTGCTCAGACTACATAGGCCCTGAAAGTGATCCCCCCAGTGGTTGGGGGGGCTAGTTTGAGTTCCAGAATAGGCCCTTGGAAGTGGGTGTGGGAAGAAGCTGGTGTTTCCCTGGGGACTATACACCCTCACGCTCTTCCCTCTCCTCAGTGAAGTACCTGGCCTTCCTGCGCAAACGGATGAACACCAACCCGTCCCGTGGCCCTTACCACTTCCGAGCCCCCAGCCGCATCTTTTGGCGGACAGTGCGAGGTGAGCTGGGCCTGAGGACCGCAGGTGGGGATGGGGTGGGTGGCCCATGATGAGGACTTCTCCCACTCAAGTTCGAGTTTCCCAACCATGAGATGACTCCACATGCACTACCATCTGAGGCCACCGGTCTGCCTGCCTGGTGATGGGGTCTTGGCGAGCCCCTCTGAGCAGGGTTGCTGTCCCTCTGCCCACAGGCATGCTGCCCCACAAGACCAAGCGAGGCCAGGCCGCCTTGGACCGCCTCAAGGTGTTTGACGGGATCCCACCGCCCTATGACAAGGTAAGCGAGACCGGGCCCGGCCCAGCATCCCTGTGTCTGGCGTGTCCGTGATGATCCACGATTACCTACATTGTTTGAGCCTCATGAGAACAGCACTGGCTGAGACACCTGCCCCAGCCAGCCTTCTTCCCTGTCTGTCCCTCACTCCAGGTCCCTAAGCCCCTCTCCTTCTCTAACAGAAAAAGCGAATGGTGGTTCCCGCTGCTCTCAAGGTTGTGCGTCTGAAGCCTACCCGGAAGGTGAGTTTCGGGTTACGTGGAGCAGACTGACATGGGGGACTGAACGTGGGGTCCCCGAGACTGGCAGATGATGGTTTTTTTCTCACGATGGTCTGCGGATGCCACCTGGGCACTGCCGAAAATGCCAATGGCTTAGCTGATGCCAGGAGGAGCAGGGAGCCCGTTACACGCGGGGGGGGGGGGGGTGTCTTCTGATTTAAAATTGGATCCTTTGAGAAGTCTTCAGCCCCTCCCCAATCTAGGCTCCCATTTATTTACAATTTCATTTCCCCCCACCCCAGTTTGCCTACCTTGGGCGCCTGGCTCATGAGGTTGGCTGGAAGTACCAGGCCGTCACAGCCACCCTGGAGGAGAAGAGGAAGGAGAAGGCCAAGATGCATTACCGCAAGAAAAAGCAGCTCATGGTGAGTGCAGGGGCACCGCACACCCGGGCAGTGGGACCTGGGTCCCTGGGAAGGGGTGGTCACAGGCAGCAGCCACTGACCACAGCCTGTTCTAACCCCACAGAGGCTACGGAAACAGGCCGAAAAGAACGTGGAGAAGAAAATTAACAAATTCACAGAGGTCCTCAAGACCCATGGACTCCTGGTCTGAGCCCAATAAAATTGACTGTTATTCCTCATGCTTGGCCTGGCCTGCCCTTCCTCCATCGCCGCCCTAGGATGTGGGGAACCCCAGGGGCTGTTCCGGGGCCACAGGCACCTTACCTTGGGCCTTAGAAGGCTGGGGACACAGAAGGAACCTTAGTCACTGCTATTTAAGAAAGGCCTTTTAAAAGCTTTACATGGCCCTGTCAGTTGGGCATAATTTGCCTGTGACCTACTCAGAGTTTTAGGAAATGAGCAGCTGGAACAGCTGGTTCCCTTTCAGGATTTATAAGCTGGAAAACTCTCTAAACTTCCCACATGATACTAGACCGCAGCTGTTAGGATGTAGCAAATGCTTGGGGGCAGGAGGGACCTGGTGTTGTACAGAGGGATTTACAGATGCACAGACAGGACGGCAGCCAGTCTCAGGCATAGCACTTGCACGTTCCTGTACCTTGTGATCAGAAAATGAATAAATTATTTTTAAAGAAATTTGGCGTCTTTGCCTTGTGTGTCTGCAACGGAGGCAGGCCCTTGGGGGCTGTCCATAGATAAAGGGCTAAATTCCTAACCTGTTAATGCATGGGAGAATTAACCTTTAGAAATCAACCTGCCAACAATTTACTCAAACCATTGTCTGTGGTGCCTGGTGCCCCAATTGACAGAGCCATCTACACTCTTCAGCTGCAGGGTGTGGAACTGCCCCGTTTTAGAGCCACCCCCTTTGTGGGACGAGGGCTACTTCACTTCACTCGGGTCATCTGCCACACTTACTTTGGGGGAAGAAATGGGCAAGAAACATTTTGCATGGGCATGTTAGATCTGCCTGGGTGCGTCCCTGAAAGCCTTTAGAGATCGACCTGCCAACAATTTACTCAAACCATTGTCTGTGGTTCCTGGTGCCCCAATTGACAGAGCCGTCTACACTCTTCAGCTGCAGGGTGTGGAACTGCCCCGTTTTAGAGCCACCCCCTTTGTGGGACGAGGGCTACTTCACTTCACTCAGGTCATCTGCCACACTTGCTTTGGGGGAAGAAATGGGCAAGAAACATTTTGCATGTGTGGGGTGTTTACGATGGAAGTGGGCATGTTAGATCTGCCTGGGTGCGTCCCTGAAAGGGTAGATAAACAGGTGGAAGCCCTCAGGTCACCTTTGATCACCTCCATCAGGCCTGTCTCCCTTTCACTGATGAGGTTTAGGAGGAGTCACCTGATCCAGAGCCAAACCCAGAATTCCACACAAGCCCTCTGGTTTGATGAAGGCAAATCTGTCCTGGAAAAGAAGCTGAATTCATGCAGCTCCTGGGATTGGTGTGCAATATTTAGAAATAATTTCCTAATTCAATTCAGCATTCAAGTGCCCAACCTCGGCACAAAGGGAGCTAGTGGAGGATAGTTCCCAGGCAAATCACAACTTGCACACCCTGCCATTCTATCCTGCACCATCTCCAAAACATCCAAGATCTCAATGGCTTAGGTTTTCTCCATCTAACATGGGTGATGACACCTCCCCTCCTTGGTTCCTGGGATCTGCCTCCAAAAGCAACTGTAGCTTAATTCTAAAATCTGACAAAACTGTTACAGCAGCACAATCCCACTGAAATCACGATCCATTAAAAACACCTTTTTTTTACTTTATTTTTTAAAATATGTATTTTATCGATTTTTTACAGAGAGGAAGGGAGAGGGATAGTTAGAAACATTGAGAGAGAAACATCAAATAGCTGCCTCCTGCACACCCCATACTGGGGATGTGCCCGCAACCAAGGCACATGCCCTTGACCAGAATCGAACCTGTGACCCTTCAGTCCGCAGGCTGAAGCTCTAGCCACTGAGCCAAACCAGTCAGGGCACCACTTTCCACTTCAGAAGACACCGATAAGATGAAAAGCCACAGACAGAAAATACTTGCAAATCTCTTTGAAGGACTTACATTCCAAGTATATATATTTAAAAACCTCTTATAATGAGATAAGCCAAATGAAAATTAGGCAAACATTTGAATAGACATTTCACCAAAGAAGATATATATACAAATGGCCAATAAGCACCTGAGAATAGACTTAACATTCAACACTAGAGAATGAAAATAAAATCTCTGGGTGGACAATCATGTAGCACAAATTCGAGGGATCAAAGCTCCAGTTCCGTCTTGCCCAACTACCCACCACCAAAGCATGTGGGCACACCTCTCCAGTCCCCGGGGGTGCCATAGGGAGGGTCTTGGGGGTTTTTTTGTTTTTTTTAATAATGATTTCAGAGAGGGAGAGAGAAACATCAATGCCTCCTGCATGCTCCCCCCTCCAACCAGGGATTGAGCCCGCAATCCGGGCATACGCCCATGACCAGAATCGAACCCAGACCCTTCAGTCCACAGGCCGATGCACTATCCACTGAGCCAAACCCACTAGGGCAGGAGGGTCTTGTTTTAATAGGCATTTCTGTGCTCAGTGGGGACGGCTCCAGATCAAATAGTATTTGCATTTTTGTTATGAAATGCTGGGAAACTGTGTGAAATCTGACAGCGTTGGCTGAAGTTTATTATTGGACACCAAAGCTGTTTACAATGCAGGTGAAAAATCAACCCAGCCATAAAATGGATAAGTGAAATACAAAAGAAAACGGGGGGGGATCAATGTATTGCAGGAAGGAAAGGAAAGAGTTAAAAGTTAGACGGGGAAAGGAGAGAAGCTGTTTGATGAGACTAAATGCTGTTTCCTATTGTGGGTTGTGCTCAAAACGCTGAAAAGCTAAGGACCCAGCACCCTTGCAGAGTGAAGCAGTATTTCTTCTCTCTGCTTTTCCCTTATCACCAAGATCTCCCCAGCCACCCTGAACACCTTGCAAAATATTGAGCATTTTAAACACCAGAGAGGAAATCACACCTAATCGCACCGCCTGGCGATGTAAACCGCTGGGCACGCGTTGTTAGCTTTTTTCTAAGTAACGTTTATACAGGTTAACACGCATTGTTGATAACAACGGTGGGCCCTGCCTTAAAAAAAAAAAAAAAAACTATTATCATAAGTACTTTCCAAGTCGTTCAAAGTTCCAGGAACTACGTTTTTTTTTCTACAAAGAAAAATTATAAAGGTAACACAGGAGCTCTAAAACAGAAAGTCCCCGTTAATGCTATCCCCGAAAGGACAACCACCACCAATTAAATGTATCATTGAAAATTCACAAAGCTATCAAGTGTAAAACAAACTTAAATAAGATTTCAAATGACATTGAAAGTTTATAGCATTAATATTTCATATATCCTGTACTGTGTACTGCCCAACGTGGTGGAGGCTGGCACCGTGTAATTTTAAATCTAATGAAATTAAAGGTAAAAGTTCAGGTCCTCGGTGGCTATGGTGCTGGAAAGCGCAGACATTTCCATTGTCTCAGAAACCGCGCCGTTACGGACAGAAAACCAGCAGAAGGGTCTGGGGGTGAAACGGGACACAAGAGAACGACTCTCACAGAAAAAGCGCAGGAGCAGCACCGCCCCGCACAAAGTTGGCGGCGCCGCCGCGCAGGTCCCAACACTTCACGACCGCCCTCCCCGCAGAAAGATGGCAGCCACCTCATCCCGCTCGAGCCCTGTACGGACACCGCCACGCGGTCCCCGAAGCCCACGTGATCTCACGGCGCGCAGACAACCGACCGCCTCCCTGTAACTCTCGCGATAACGTAGGCGGGCTAAGGGCTGGCCGCGCCTTCCCAATGCGAACAAGCGCGTCCAGACAATAGGTGGCTGAACTATCGCGAGACTGTACCCGCCCCGCCTCTCCGCCCTCCTCCATCATGGCGGCGTCGGTGCAGTCTCCCAATCACCTGCTTGCTGAGAGACGTCGGTCAATCAGAGACGCGCCCAAAGCACCGCCCCAAATCGTGCTACTCGGTCCCCTATTCGTCACTTCCTCTCCAGTCCCTGCGCAGTCGATAAGGAAACCCGGACGCCGCTGTGGCTTTCTTTTTTTCAAGCGGCCGGGAAGATGGCGGACATTCAGGTGCGAGCTCGGGCCCTCCTGGGCCTCAGGGGCGTGTCCGGGAGAGCGGGACCCCGCGCCCCAGTTGGGGAGTTAATTCCGGGCGCCCCCGATCTCCCAGGGGCTAATTCGGGCAGAGGGCGCGTGTCTGCGTTATCTGCATTAGTGCCTCCTCAGTCCTGGGGGCTCCGCACTGGGAAGTCGTGTACGTTAGATGAGCAGTGGATCCGGGTGGATGTCTTTGTGTCTTGGACAGTAATCCTTCCTGAAAGGTGTCCGAGGTGCCATTCTGCCTCCGGGTTCTAAGCAGTGAATTCTGCAGGCGGCGGGAAGTGTTTGGGAGCGTAAACGCTGCAGTGACCCCGGGTTAGATTTCGGTCTGAATTGGAGGGACATCTGGGGTCAGAGTTCTCGGAGGCGATTCTGGGGCAGGAGACCTGGGGGGAGGGGGTCCTGGGGGTTCCGGGAAGGTCTGCGGCCCGCTCCGGCCTCACCCGCCCCCTCGTCCCCGCAGACGGAGCGAGCCTACCAGAAGCAGCCCACCATCTTCCAAAACAAGAAGAGGGTCCTGCTGGGAGAGACGGGCAAAGAGAAGCTCCCTCGATACTACAAGAACATCGGCCTGGGGTTCAAGACGCCCAAGGAGGTACGGACCCCGGGAAGGAAGAGGGGGACCCGGCTCCGCACATGTGCCGGCCCAGCTGCCCCGCCCACATCCGCGTGTCGCCCGGGGGCTGCTGGGAATTGTAGTTTGTCTCTGAGGCCGCACCCGGCTGTTCTTTCCAGGAACTAGCTACTCAAGCCTTCCTTTTTAAAATATATATTTTTATCGATTTCAGAGATGAAGGGAGAGAGAGAAACATCATTGATGAGAGAGAATCATTGATCAGCTGCCTTCTGCACGCCCCCTTCCGGGCAGGGGGCGGGGGTCGAGGCCGCAACCGGGGCATGTGCTGGAATCGAACCTGGGACCCTTTAGTCTGCAGGCCGACGCTCTATCCACTGAGCCAAGCCGGCCAGGGCCTTATTTTTTATTTTATATTTTTTTAAATCTTTATTGTTGAGAGTATTATAGACACCTCCCTCCTCCCCCCCCCCCCCCCCCCCCCCAAAGCCTTACTTCTTTTCCTTATCCCTCCAGGCCATTGAGGGCACCTACATTGACAAGAAATGCCCCTTTACCGGTAATGTCTCCATCCGAGGGCGCATCTTGTCCGGTGAGTGGGGCCGTTGGGGGGCTTGGGTTCAGATTTCTGGGTCTGAGGGAAGAGGGGCTGGGGACACTCCTGGTTCCTGGGCCCTGGCAGGTGATGTCTGTTTTCACGATGGTCTTCAGATGCCTGTGCCAGGCGCTGCTGAGAAAGCCAATTGGCAGAACTGATGCCAGAACCAAGGTTTCTTAATGCTGCTCGGCAGCTCCCAGCATGCCCTGGGCTGCCTGAGGCTCCCTTTCCCAAGGAGCCTGACCCACAACCTCCCCTCCCCCAGGCGTGGTGACCAAGATGAAGATGCAGAGGACCATTGTCATCCGCCGAGACTACCTCCACTACATCCGGAAGTACAACCGCTTCGAGAAGCGCCACAAGAACATGTCAGTGCACCTGTCCCCCTGCTTCAGGTGAGCACTGTGGGTGGCAACCCGGGCCAGCCCCCCTGCCCGGCGGAGAGGAGGGGGTGGGCTGCACTCAGGTCTGAGTGACATGGGGCACCCTAGGTGCCTGTGGAGGCAGTAAACTGAGGCGGGGGAGGGGGGGGGGGCTGCTGCAAGTGAGCCTCCAGGTTTCCGTACAGTATTGGGCCTGGTGCCTCGCTCAGAGCTTGTGCTCAATCAGTAATGACAAAGGGGCGGCTGGAACTGGAAACTGAAGCTTGGCTGTGGCCTCGGCCTGGTGACCACGAAGGAGGCTCTCGAGGGGCAGCCTCACGCCCCCTGTCCCCCCTGTAACATACACGCTGCCCCCTCCATAGAGATGTGCAGATCGGCGACATCGTCACCGTGGGTGAGTGCCGCCCCCTGAGCAAGACTGTGCGCTTCAACGTGCTCAAGGTCACCAAGGCCGCCGGCACCAAGAAGCAGTTCCAGAAGTTCTGAGCTGCCTACCTGCCCCCCCCCAACCAAATAAAGTATTTTCTCAGTCACAGCCAGGCTCCGGGTGTCTGTGGCCTCTCCAGAGGGAGGTATGTCCCTGGGGATGGAGCAGGTTGACAAGAACGATGGGTTCTTATTTACCCTCTGGGGCTTGAGGGTGGGAATGGGGACCAGATCCCGCCTCCTGTCCTGTCTCTGGGTGAAGACGGCCTGTATTAAAGATGCTGCACTTCTCCGTCTCCTTTGGTCCTTGTCACCTTCTACCTGTTGTTGAGCTGCTGTCTCACCCTCCACCCCCACTTCCCCCCA